TCGAACACATTTCATTATCTTACATCTTACAAAACATTATCTGCAAATGTCATCAGCTGTTAAAAGGGTGTCTAACCTTAAAATATATATAAAAACAAAGTAACAAACAAACACACAATCTCTGAATTCTATTGATATCGCAAGAAAGTTGTCTGGGAATCTGACAACTGATTGTGCAGTAAAATGAAAGTTTTGGTGGCCATCTTGAAAAGGAATAAACAAGGGAACCTTTTCAAAACATCTTCTCTGTTGATTAGATATTCATTTCATCCAAACTGGAACAAATATTTTCTTCTTTTCTGTCAGTTTGCAGGCATAATGATAAGACTATACACGTGCACACAGCCATGAATTCTGATGTATAGACCATATGGTCATTTGATCCCTTTGAATATGTTCCACCACATATTTTGGATTGATATTGTTGTCACTGGTAGTTCATGATCTAGTCCATCTATATTCAAACTATTTTTGGTATACAAAAGTTATAAGATACTTTTACTCTAAAATTAACACATTTTTGGTCTAGAAAATATCATTGCTTGAGATGACTTTTAGCTGTTGAGTTGTCTGTAATTATCTTATAACTAACCATAGCAAGGGATTTTTACATGTAGACTGTAGCATATGATCCCTAGTTTCGGTTGCATCATAAATGATCCTTCAATGCATAGTTAGTTTGACAACATTCATCTTTTGGGGGAAAACACTTAGGTCTACACTTGGCAATTTTGCCCCCCCCCCCCCCCCCCCCCCCCTTTTTAGGTAAATCTTTGAAAAAAATCCTTTGCATTCAGTATGATTGGATTTATTTTAACCAAATTTGGTCCAGAGAAATCATTTGGCAGGGGGGACCAGTGATTGTTTTACCCCATTTTTGGTGCTGATTTTCGGTACTTTCCCCAAGTGAAGTTTTCCAAATTCTGACCCAATTTTTTCCCAATCGCTTGTAAAAAAATTAAAGCATGCCTTCTTATAAAATGTTGTACAACGTTGTTAAATTTTTTGACAAATAGAAGATCATCTTTTGGCATAGAAATCAAGCTTCAAGTTTTGTTACACACGATGTTGTTTGAGTGCATTCGAATGGTACTCGAGTTTGGAATAGTCTCGGTCATAGCGACAAATTATACAATTTCGGTCATACTAACAGAAGCGTCTCGGTGACCACATCAAACGCAAAAATGGAATGACAGAATCAAAACTGATCTCCAAACTTGTACGATTAATCTGTTACTGCGCAATATGTCCCACAATGAAAAGTACTACACTACTTTCGAAAACAAATACTTTTGACTGGTCACTAGCAAGGATTAACGATGATATCAGAGGCGTTTAAACGTCGAATAGTGTAACAGTTACACAAGACACTGTTGTAAGTACAGGCGTTTCGCCCGCTGTCATTCCGCCGTCGGTAGATATACGTTAATTGTATTCATACATTTTATCAAAAATATATCGGGACTTCTTCATTAAATAGAAATGCTGTTCTTCGCTACAATGAGAAATAACTAAAGGATAGTTTACACTAGTGAGAAAAAAACCACTTTGCAGGATATGGAAAATACTGAATAAATAAATGTTCAGGTTGGACATTGTCCTAGATAATGACACGGTACAAATCCAACATCATTTACTGAGATACTGCTCCACAATTTAGACATTTTGACGTTGTTTTCTGTATGTTATTTTGTTACTTTTAAGTGATAAAAATGCAATGTATTTTATATTTGTAAAGTAAATTCTTGTTGATTATCATTTATTTTTTACTGCTGTGGCAGAATGCTTCAAACATTTTTAGGTCACCTGAGCTTTGCTCAAGTGACCTATTCTAATCGCTTTTCGTCCTTCGTCGTCCGTCGTGCGTCGTGCGTAAACTTCTACATTTTCAACTTCTTCTCAAGAACCAGTGGATGGATTTTTTTCAAACTTGGTCAGAATCATCCTTGGTAGATGAGGCTTAAGAATTGTAAAATTGGGATTCCTACCCCGACACCTGGGGCCAGGGCGGGGCCCCAAAGGGAACATTTATCAATATTTTCAAATTCTTATCCATTGATGACATGACAACCAAAGGGAAAATTAACCAATATTTCAAAAATCTTCTTCTCCAGACTCAGAGGTACCACAGTGATTTTCTCTACGTGGAAAGAAAGATCATCAGGGGCTTTTCTTTAATTGTAAATTTCAGTACCCCTGAGCTATCCGTTCTCCCTTAGGGAGGGGGTAAAGTTTACTTTTGTTTATTTAGGGAAATAACCCTTTTGGGTTCATTTTGACAACTTTCGGTAGGAAATTATTTTTACTCGTTGAGATTTATCCTTGGAGGAAGATCGTTTCAAATTGTAAAATTGAGCTTCCTACCACAACCCCTGGGGCCAGGACGGGGCCCCAAAGGGAACATTTATCAATATTTTCAAATTCTTATCCATTGATGACATGACAACCAAAGGGAAAATTAACCAATATTTCAAAAATCCTGTGCTTCAGACTCAGCGGTACTACAGTGTTTATCTCTATGTGGAAAGACCGCTCATCAGGGGCTTTACTTAAATTGTAAATTTCAGTACCCCTGAGCTATCCGTTCTCCCTTGGGGAGGGGGTAAAGTTTACTTTTGTTTATTTAGGGAAATAACCCTTTTGGGTTCATTTTGACAACTTTCTGTAGGAAATTATTTTTACTTGGTGAGAATTATCCTTGGAGGAAGATCGTTTCAAATTGTAAAATTGAGCTTCCTACCACAACCCCTGGGGCCAGGACGGGGCCCCAAAGGGAACATTTATCAATATTTTCAAATTCTTATCCATTGATGACATGACAACCAAAGGGAAAATTAACCAATATTTCAAAAATCTTCTACTCCAGACTCAGAGGTACCACAGTGATTTTCTCTACGTGGAAAGAAAGATCACCAGGGGCTTTACTTAAATTGTAAATTTCAGGGCCCCTGAGCTATCCGTTCTCCCTTAGGGAGGGGGTAAAGTTTACTATATATAGTTTATATAGGGAAATAACACTATTGGGTATATTTTGACAACTTTGAGTAGGAAATTATTTTTACTCGGTGAGATTTATCCTTGGAGGAAGATCGTTTCAAATTGTAAAATTGAGATTCCTACCCCAACCCCTGGGGCCAGGGCGGGGCCCCAAGGGAAAATTAACCAATATTTCAAAAATCCTCTTCTTCAGACTCAGCGGTACTACAGTGTTTATCTCTATGTGGAAAGAAAGATCATCAGGGGCTTTACTTAAATTGTAAATTTCAGGACCCCCGACCTATCCGTTCTCCCTTAGGGAGGGGGTAAAGTTTACTATAGTTTATATAGGGAAATAACACTTTTTGGTATATATTTTATCCATTTTCAGCAGAAAATTACTCAAACATAGTCAGAATCATATTTGGTGAATAAGATTATTACTTTGTAAAATTGGTATTCCTGCCCCATCCCCAGGGGCTAGGGTGGGGCCCCAAAGGGAACATTTATCAATATTTTCAAATTCTTATCCATTGATGACATGACAAGTATTGTATTTCACTTAGTTCAAATGCTGATTTCCACTGGACATCTAAACAATAAAATAAAGCTACCAGTACCTATGATATAACTCAGGTGACCGCTAAGGCCCTTGGGCCTCTTGTTATTTGTGTTGTCTCACTCGTGAAATATTAATCGTATTCAAAGAAATAACATGCGTCACCTCTATGTAAATGTTTGCTGAACGATGTTCACCTGTTGACAAATCTGAGGGCTAATCTAGTTTGACACAATTAAACATATGCTAATAAATATATCAACTGACTTCTGGTGGGTTTTTTTCTTTCATAAATTGTCATGAAAAGAACACAACTGTAGCAATCCACAGAAGCAAGATCAAACAAAGTTTCCCTCATTTTATACATCTGTAACATGTCGTAAAATTCCCAATTCATTGTGTCCGCGAGTAAAATTCCCAATTAAAAAGGCACCGGCCGGGGCTTTAGAAAAAAAGGTAAAAAAATCACTAGGGGCTCAATTTGTTTTAACAGAGATTGTCATGTGGCTCCCCTAGCAAATATCTAAAATCCTTTGTTATTTTAACCAAATTGTGTCCAGAGTATCATTTGACAAGGGGAAATCACTTTGTTTGAACAGAAAGTGTAGTCCCCCTGGGAGAAAAGGGGAAGAGTCCAGTGGAGGGAACATAGTAATAAATGTTTAAAATCTTTCTCCTTCAGTTTATTTGGAGGGATTTAACCAAATATTGTGTAGAGCATCCTTGGGCAAAGGAGACTCAATTTTGTATAAATGCTTTTAGGGGGCAGAGGGGTGGCCCCAATAGGGGAAATTAAGATTAATGTTTAAAATCCCTCCCAATTCATGAGGCAGAAATAAGGGACCTAATGAGGGATGGGTGTGGCTGAGAGACCGAGCCAATATTCAGAAATAGTTGTTATTAGAATAATTTTCCATAGTTGCTTTATTATTAAGGTGAGCGATACAAGCCCTCTTGTTCTTAAACAAATCAGAAGATATGTCATCATCTTGACACATCCAACTCAAACTCAACATTCAAATACAGGCGCTAGTCATCTGTTCGTGTATTAATTAATTAGTGTATTAATTAGTTTTGTGTCAAATACCGATGTTAACTATCGGAGAATATTAGAAGTTATTAGTGTTTGACTGTAACACACACCATCTTTAACAACACATGGGTTTGTATCGGTCGCAATGCTTTGTTATATTGCAGTTATTATTCATAATTTGTATCTATTTATGGCCTGGTGAAAGAAATGGAGGTGTGGATAGAATATTGACCCCATCTTTCCTATCCATGAATGTATCATTGCAGGTATATATAATGCTCTGCTGTGTTGTGCTTTTGTTTGACACTGTATTAATTATGAGCATTAGATAAATATTACATTAAATATAATGTTTAATGATGGTATTTATATAATCTACCCCATCATAACATTACAAAAAAGTTTAATGTGATGTTTCATTATATTTTTCAGCCATTCCTACCTTAACTGTGAGTCAAACTGTTTCCGCTCTGACTTTGTCAAGCTCAAATACACAAAGCTTGACCATTATAGCCACATGTGCGTACCCAGCTGTCTCACTCGCCGTGTACTTTGTGGTAAGTTAAATGCTAAAACACAGGTATGTTGTCTTACAACAAAATGCTTAACTAATCATGTAAATTAAATTACAATGTAATGAGGTCAAATGTCAACTTTAAGTGCTAGCCCGAGTCAAAGGTCAATGTGGGTTAAAAGCTTAGAAGCATATAAGAAGCATTCAAGAGATGTTACAATGTCTTGTGTTCTAATTAACACATTTGCTCTGTATATATGTCAGTTGCATGTAACAATAGAAACTGGAGAGCAAATTTAGGTTCTATAGGCCTCTTGTATACAGTACACATCAGGAGGTATGGTCCTGAAATACCCCAGGATCAACCTCAAAAGTCTAGGGTGTCACTCCTCTGTTATCATTAAAGGAAATGTGTCAGATTAGTAATTGGTCATTTTTTTTTAGCTCACCTGGTCCGAAGGACCACGGTGAGCTTATGCCATACCGTGGCGTTCGTCGCTGGGCATAAAGAGACGAATGCAGTCACGATATTAGTATATACCCTGGGGTCTGACCGAACCCCTAGGGTATCTAGTTTCTTCGTCACAGCTTGGAAACAGTTGAGATCCCCACCCTATAACCATATAGACAATTGCTGAGGATAAAGAGATGAATGCACATATGCTTCCAGGTTGGCCTTGGGGACTGCCCCACACTTGGAGACTTAACCCCTGGGTCATAACTTTGAAACGGTTGAGATCCCCACCCCAAGACTGTAAATACAAATGCTGGGCAAAAAGAGACAAATGCAGTCATGATATTAGAATGATCCTGGGGTCTGGCCACAACCGCTGGGACCTAGTTTCTGAGTCACAGCCTGGAAACAGTTGAGATCCCCACCCCATAACCATACATAAAATTGCTGGGCATGAAAAATCGAATACAGATATGCTACAAGGATTGGCCTTGGGGTCTGGCATATTCCCTTAGATCTCATTTGGAGAATATTTTGCCATGATTGCTAAGTTATCCAAGCGAGCAATACAGGCCCTGTGGGCCTCTTGTCTTTATTTTGCCATCTGACCACAATCAAACTAAAAGCATTTTACTCTGATATTTCTTTTGACATCTGACAACGATCATTGGAAGAATTTGCCCTTTTCTGTATTAAGATATACAGTCGGTTGATCCTGATATAGGCGTTCAGCTCCATTGATAAAGAGATGATTTCTGGTGGGGGGCTATATATATTTATTGTCTTGCAAGACTCTGAATTCTTCAAGTGTATTTTGTTTAGGCCAAATGTAAATTTTGAGAAGTGGCTCGTAAGAGAAGTTGACATAAGCTTAAATGGGTAAAACGCTGTACGAATATTCTCGTTTCAGGTCTTTAGGCCTAGGGTCATGATTTTTTCTAGTATATGCCATTTGTTTGAGTGCAATAAAGTGTCTTCATATACACGACCTTGACCAACTTGTCTATACACTGTATATAATGTTGAAAGCTTCAAACAAGCTCATCTGGCCTTTTGTGACTGCTGAAATTTAAATGACCATCATGTTTCATGAAATCTATAGTTATATGCATGTACAATAGATAACTTACCTATATCAATGTCTGCATCCTTCTCATCTCACTGCCTCATCAGCATTTATATGTTATATTCCAGCCAACTGGAGGAGGAACTGCAGTGAGTTCCCCATCATCAACAGCAACATGTACGAGTACTGGTAATGCAGGATGTACTGACACGGATGCCAACATCTACAACTGTGTCATTGTACCGAAAGTTGAGACATCTCTTTCAGCGGGTACATACCACGTACAGTTTGTAGTCAATCTCGCTGGGCAGTATGAACCTATAGGACTGACCTCCACCATCACTGATACTGTGATAACAACTGAAGGTAAGTTATGTTAATTGTATGTCGTTACTTCCTTTAGTTTAGTTCAGATAGTCCGAAAAACCAATACATATTTACAAAAAAGTGCCCGTCCTCACAATTAACCAAAATAATATCTAATTCCTCAAATATTTAAAGTAAGTGTTGAAAGGATCATTTCGGGATGAATTGAATTTCTGAAAACAGTCTATATTCTTATTTACATATTTGTTAAAATTTAAGATATATGACGTCAAGTGAAGCTTCTTCCAATGATGACATTACACACATTATCATTTATACCTTTCATGACACACATTTATTTGGCAAAACAGGATACTGTTTTAGTTTGTCTGTCCTTTACATATTGTTTCTGTGTAACAAATTTCTTATGAATTGATCAATGGAATTAATTCTGCAATGACGATACTCAAGCATCGGTGTCTCTAAGGTATTTTGTTTATCCTCATTGGTCGACACATTCTGGACAGTTATTCTTGTAAATATTTACAGATTTTAGTAAAACTATGTCATTGCATAATGGAAATGCTAGCTCAGAACAAGTTAAGGGACTTTGCGGAATACATACATGCATATTAATTTATTTGGGGTAGCATGGTGTGCACTTATGTAATGTCATCGCAACATGCTGGAGCCAACTTTAGAGGCATTTGAAATCTCTGCAACTGGCGAAACCAGGATAACTACTGATAACATAGCAGTTAAGTGTAAGGGTCTGCAGAGTTTGAAGAAGACTCCTTGCTGAGAAATTAGTTCATAAAGGGTGTGGTCTCCTAGGGGCAAAGGCAAGGCAGACTAGGAAAAAGGGCATAAATATTTAAAAGACTAATTCAATAGTATTGAAGAAGTAATTTTAACCTGGTTAGTCTCCCATTATAACTAGTACTACCAGAAGCAATTAAGTTTTTACTATCTCTGTCTGTTTTCAGTGTTATATTCCAAATATTGGACATATCTTTTACCAAAGTTCGTTTGGGACAGCCAGTATTGGTGTGCATGTTGAGATAGCAGTTTAATGTGTACCAAAAGCAGGTTGCTGTGACCTATATTTTAATCTGTGACCTATATCATTGAAACAGTTTGTTTGAGAAGTGCACCTTCTTTACTATTTTCACGGATTCAGATTTTTGGCATGTAGATACATACGGAATCTTCATTCTGATACATCAATCATTTCCAACAGCTAGGCTGAATATTTATGGAAAAGTTTTAATCAAAGTTTTCCACAGTGTATTTTTTGCATTGATAAAGGTTGAACTTGAAGAGACCAAGTACATCTCACTTCTGCTAGCAGTTTAACGCTCTTCCATTTAAATTTGAACACAATAAATGAAAAACATCTGCTATCTCTTCACGACTACATTTTGGTTGAGACAACTATGGTAGATATGTTTAGAGGATTCAACAGTTGCTTTTGAAAGTCCTTGCTCCTTACCTACAATAATTTGAATTTTTCACACACCACTGGTTAAAGTTAACCAATATTTGAGCTACCAGGACTAGGTAGTTCAACTGTGTCCATCTGAAGTAAGGAGGTCCCGGGTAAATTCTCAGTTTGGCCATTGTATTTTCATTTTCTGTTATATATTATCTTTGTAAAATATACACTGACGTCTTGCTCTTAAGAGTTTCTGACACATGACTAAAGGTAACACTTCAGATATACCTTGTGCAGTAGGTGAAAATTTGAACAGATTGTTATCAAATATGCTGATCCTAAAACATCTTTTCTGATCATAACGAGAATATTTTATAGTTCAAGGTCCTCGTTGGGAAAAGCAACCATGGTACTGTATATGTGTTTGATGATATTAGAAAATTTCATTTTTCACGTGTTACATTGATGAACTGTGGAATCTTTATCACCTGCAATTTTAGACTTTTTATCAGGGTTTGTCCACTTTGGTTATGACTGTCTGTGATCGGGCTGTTGCCTAGTGGAAAACATGTTCAATGTTTTTGTTAAGTTCATCCTTTGACGAGTATATTCAAAAAATGTTCATCCATACAAAATCTTGGTAAGAATTTACGTAAACTCCATTAAACTAACTTTAGAAATCCAACAGTTATCAAATTATGTGGACATACCATGATGATTAATGTACTAATGATCAAATATAGGTCAATGTCATATACAAGTTTAAGTTAAATTTTCACATTTAACCCTCAAATGACAATGGTCCAAATTGGTCCAGAAATGTCACAATGGATGTACGATGCATTGGAATAAAAGGTGAAGCACATATTGTTTTGTCGTCTGAGGAACTTTAAACTCGTGAATGTTCATGCCTTATAGCTGTGTTGGTCGAAAGCATTGTGGAAAATGCTTGGTGTTGTTTTAATTTTCAATTATCAACATATAAAATTTGAAGTCGACTGAAAGATGATACTTATCATATCTTATTCTTTTTCAGGCGTTTCGGGCGATGTTTAACATCAATTTTAATTTGTACGACCAAATGATAAATAAATATATATTTATACATAAGTTTCTCATATCTCTGTTTATTTTCATTTCAGCAAGTAGCAGCATCTGTGACTCGTGCCCAACTACTAGTAAGTAGACTTATATTATTTTGTTTAGGGTTTCTGAACAAAATAATTGGAATCAAATTTTTGGAACTATTTGATACTCAATGTCTGTCCTAAGGGTCAAATGTTTAAAAAAAATGTCAAGCAACTTCTTTTGAATAACAGTAAGGCCTAGGGTGATAATATCGTGCCAGTAACATCCTGAGATGAAGGACTACAAACTTTGATTAAATAATTGACCTTGACCCACTTTCAAGGAAAATAACACTGGGCCACACAAGTAAAAACTTTGAAATCTTCCGACAAACCTATGAGTTTTAATTAGATATTTACCCTGTAGAGTAAGCTTGCTTGCCATCATGTTTGTAAATGTCTTTAACTTGGACCCACAATGATAAGTATTGAACCCAATTGATTAGATTATCAATATTTTTCTATTCAGTTGCTTTGGCGGTCATTGGCTTAGTTGTAGCTGTGGGTTGCGTGGCTATCTGTTGGATATTGTATTCCCAACACAGTGGTAAGTACTTTTGAGTTTTAGTTAGCATTTATCAACATTGTAAGTTATGTTTGTACAGGTTTTGCTTGAATGAATTTTAAAATCACTTGCAAGGAAAAGACAAGAAGAAAACTTCTTTTTTATAAGCATCCGCTTTTGAAGGAAAAGAACCTTCTTTTCACCATGTAGATACCAAAAAATTTATGCTGTCAGTTTGAAAATTATTTATCTAACCTAGCTTCACTGTGCAATAATGGAACAACATGTTTATCACATTTCAAATTAACTAAACTAATTGTACAAGGTGAAGATTTAACAACTTTACTGTATTCATAGATCCTTTTAAACGGTTAAATATATCGTGATGAAACTTGAAGTAAACTTGCATCATCCATAGACAAAGTGCAATGCACTGTTGTAAGGTCACAGTTTGATACGTCATCAAATAGAGTTTTTTTCCTTGTCAATGTTGTTATTATCTTAATTCCGTGTTCCATATTCTACTACATTTGTTTGTTAATAAAGTTGAGTTGGCACAAACTCTGTGCGGCCAGATACTGTTTAGTTATAGTGACCACAGGAATCATACATGTTGGGAGTAATAAACCTGACATAATACAATCATCAAGATTTAGGAAGGTTTTAGAACTTGTGCTGTTTATTCAGTTCTGATTTAATAAATTAACCCATAATGAGGGGATAACCCTTCTGTATTTTGAAATACGAGGCGATATATGGTGATCATACTGTTGCAAATTGAGTGTTTATTACTAGCGTAGTGGAATGGAGCCAGCAAAACGGAAATTTGTGACAGTATAATCTCAGCGACGCATATTTCAAAATACAGTAGTGTTCATAATCCTCATTCTACTAATTCATAAAGCCAAAACCACAAAAAGAAACAACATTTTTAGATCGCCTGCCCGAAGGTGGTTGCTTCCTGGGATAGAGCTCGACAAAGTTTGAGAATGATAATTACTTTGACCTACTTACAAGGTCACAGGGGAAAATATGTCAAACACTTCAAACAACTTCTGAAAAAGAACCAAAAAGCATAGAATCGTACAATAATATTTGGCTGGTAGTTGCAACATATGGAGCCGACAAAGTTTGCAAAAGAAATATTTATAGTATAGTATAAAATTGAAATGGAATATTTTGCTATGGCTGCTGAAATGTTCAGGTGAGTGATACAGCAGGCCTCTTGTTAAGATATGTTTTAGTGTTTTCTTCAAGTTCTGGTTAACTCTGCCATGGATTTGTGATGTCAGGAATATTCAAAGTGGCGCAGAATTATGTCAATCTTTCGTGGTCACGCTATTGTTTATGACGTCATGAATTATCAATTTCATGACATGTCAGGGTCAGTCAGGCTTATTGATGTTATTAACACGTGTTCCCTGTCACTTTTGTAATTGTTTTTTTTTAGCTCAAATGCCCGAAAATGACCTTGACCTACTTTAAAGGTCATAGAGGTCAAATATCTCAAAACCTTCAAACGACTTCTTCTGAAATACTGAAATGCCTAGTTACATTGTATTTAACTGGTGGCGTCCTTGGAATTAGCCAAACAAAGTTTGCGAATGAAAATGACCTTCACCGACTTTCAAGGTCACAGGGGTCAAATGTGTTAAAAACAAAAATCTCAATAACGAACAGCCATAGGGTGAAGTTATATGGCCAATAGCATGCTGGGATAAAGGGGTACCAAGTTTGTTCATATGAATGACCTTTACCTACTTTCAAGGTCACAGGGGTCAAATATGTAACAAAAACTTCAAACAACTACTTCTGAAATACCGAATGGTTTAGAGACATGACAATTGGTACGTAGCTTCCATGGAATAAGCTGTTTCCTGCAAAAACACAACTGATTTTTTCTTCGCTTTTATCCAATTAAACAGATGAACTCTTTTTCTCTTACATGAATACAACCCCCTGACATTCAAAGACAATATCTCAAAATTAGCCATGATCACTTATCCAGAAATTACCAAAGCACACCCTTAGGTAATCCTGTACTTGACCCCAATTCTTATCAGTTATGGTATTTAAGTAAATAACCTCCCACACAGACAAATGACACATAAAACTCAACAACAACAACACAAAACATATAGAAGCATACTACCCTTGCATTTTGGATTACTGAATAAAAACTAGAGACACTGTCACAATAATGTGTATCTCTGTTAAGTCAGAATTGATCTAGGACAGAAAGAAAAAAAACATCCGTAAATTTTGCTTAAACGTTTAAAAAAGAAATGAAAATATTACCCAAAATGTAGTGCAAGACACGAAATTCAGCCTTCAATATGTATATCATCACCTTATTCCACCAACAACATAAACCTTGGGATGCAAGAAAAATAGCTAAACATTAGTTAACTGCAGCTGGATCACGGGTTTTCCTTGTTTAGAATCAGAGTTGCTAAATTCAAATACTTTTCAGTCTTAAATCTGTATGCTAGATATTGAATAAGGTTGTTTTATTGTTATTAGCTCACCTGGGCCAAATGACTATGGTGAGCTTATGCCATACCGCAGCATCCGTCCGTCCGTCCGTCCGTCAACTTTTCCTTTAAAACGCTACTAGTCCTGAACGGCAAAGTAGATTTTGACTAAATTTAAGATGAAACATCCTTAGGCCAAGGGGATTCAATTTTGTGAAAACAGTGGGTGTGGCCTCCCTGGGGGCAGAGATGCGGGGCCCAATAGGGGAAATAGGTACAATCTATAAAATCCATCTTCTATCGTAGGAATA